CTTTTTTTTTTTTTTTTTTTTTCAATGATATATTCTTTGTTTCGTTCTGTTCGATTTGCAAGTTCAAAGTGTCTCGGTTCGATTTTTAACGGGGAATACGAGGAATTTTAGAATTTTTACACGAGTGCCATCGTGTTAACTCTTTACTCCGAAAGATCGAATTTGCGGTGGCAGACGCAGCATCAGCGAAGCGACAGACGATCGGATCGTTTTGCTTTCTTTTTTTTTTCACTTATGATTTCCCACTAAAACCATGCTCCCTATATAGCGGTCCTTACAGGAAAAGATGAAGAACAAGCTGCTGGAGGTGTCCGGCGAGGAGAGCAACATGGACGTGACGAGCGAGAGCGGCAGCAACACGGACGTCGTGACGGACACCGACGACGACAACGCGGACGGCGTGTCCAGCGCCAAGAGAAGAAAGGTGAAGCCCAGCGAGAGGGATCTCCAGGTGCCGCTCGAGCGTGGTTGGAAGCGAGAAACCGTCATCAAAGGATTAGGGAAGTCGGGAGTGATTAAGGGTGACGTGTCTTATTACAGTCCTTGTGGAAAGACGTTCAGAAGCAGTCCGGACTTGGCGAAGGTTAGTTTCTTCCATTGTGAAGGGAGATTGGTCGTTTTTTCGATTTAATTCCTTTCTCTCTCTCTCTCTCTCTCTCATCTGGATTTGGAGAGATCGCAGAGTCCATAGATATATATATGTATATATACACATATATAGCGTGCTCTATCGTTTGGAATTGGGTTTTGTAGTTTTTGGAACAACAGAATCCGCCCGAGTTAACGACAGCGAACTTCTCGTTCTCGTCCCGGCCGCTGGTGGGCGAGTTCCTGCAGCCGACGATGGGCCTCGCGGAGGCGGAATTCGTTAGGTTGGGCGCTCAGGAAGTTGCGAGAAGATTGGAGGAGCTGAGAGCCGCCGGTGGTTTCAGGGACGTGCGGACGAACAATCAGTACGAGAGAGAGAAGCTAGCGTACGCGAAAAAGCTGGCAAAGGAGGAGGCGCAGCGGCACAAGGAGCAGGCTAGGTAAGTTAAATGCCTTCCCGCAACTACACTTTGCGTGCTACAGTCTCTCTGTTTCGTAATTTACTCGTAGCCTAATTTTAAGTTTGCAATCCAGTCGCGCGAATAGCGCAGTTTCTTTGTCGTTCTGTAGAGGAATACTTGGACGACAACCCCGGAAGGTCGAGTTTTTGGTCACTCGGTAATATACGTGTGATCGATCAATTAGTCGTGTGTTCCCGTTACAGGCTCATCAAGGAACAGGAGAAATCCGAGAGGCAGGAGGCGGTTAGACGGGAGCGGGAGATTCGAAATCAACAGCTGCTTGAGGTAAGTTGAACCCCCTCTGTCTTATATTGACCGTGTTTACTTCCTTTTCACATTTTGTCTCGATTCTCGTTGTTTCATTCACAAGGAATCTGTTCTCTCACTCTATTTGGGATATCTACTACGTTTTTTTGTATTTTGTCCACCTGTCGTGCGTGTCGCATGCTCTCTGTGTGTGTCGTATTTATATTATACATATACATATATATATTATCTATATCTATATATTATATATATACGTCTATTTGTACATTATATATATATACATATATATATATATACTCCTCCAGTGGATATATATTCTTGTAAAACTCCAGATACTTTTATATATACTCGCATATATGTGAATCACCCCCCTGGAATCACCCCTCGCCCCCCTCCACCCCCTCACTCTACATATTCCAAACAACCGACCAAAGACAAAAGAAAAAAGGAAAAAAAAAAAGAGAAAAGAAAAAGAAAGGACAAGAAGGAGCAAAGAAAAAAAACAAACTGTCCCAGGACACACGAAAACCAAAAACCCCCAAAATATATAGATGACCGAGAATCGCTAGCAATAGTGACAGGAGAACCCAGCATGTCCTCCCACAGTCTCTCCCTAAAACTAATATATCAACCAACAATTGTTCTCCACCTAATCGAACCCCTTAGCTCCAAAGTTTCTTCTATTTCTTCTACTTCTTCTACTTCTACTTCTACTACTACTACTACTACTACTACTACTCTTCTTCTTCTTCTTTTTTTTTTATTAGTTTTGTGTTCGATATATTTTTCTGTTGATTCACGCTCCTCGTCGCCCAGATAGTCGAGAACGTGTTTCCTTTTAGTCGTATCCCGCCGAGGAAATCTCGTTTGTTGCTGCATCTCGCTTCCGGGTCCTCCGCACGGCGAGAATCGACCCGATAGTCTATTTTTCCTTTTTTTTTTCTTTTTTTTGGGGGGTTTCGTTGATGAGAACCCCGCGATGAACCGCGTGCAGCTTTCATAGAGAGAGAATGAGCGGGAGAAAATGCACGAGAGAATGGGAGGAAAGAACCATCGAGAAAAGTCGAGACCATTACCGCATATCGGTGTCTGAATTTCGAATTCTGTTTAAGCTTCGCTGTGTTCGTTGTAGTTTCCTTTTGTGTCCGTCACTGCAATTGTACTAACGAGTGTACAGAGAACGGAACGTTCCTTGGAAGAAACAGGATTGCAAGTGAACGTAGATTGAAAAAAAGAAAAAAAAAAAAAAGAAAACAATTGTCGTTGTTGGCAAATTGGGAAAATTAGGAGCATCGATGTTGCCTGTGGTTTCGATATTTTCAACTGAGAAATCGTTCGTATCGAGATAGTCTGCTCGAGATATGTTCCCATAGTCGTGTGCGTGAACTCGATGATGCATAGTTCCCGGTGCTTTTTGTGTGCGCTGTAGACAGTCTCGCATATATCGATCTTTTTGTCGTGGTATAGTTTGTTCTCTCCTGATTTCACATAGATTGACGGCGAATGGTCGTGTGAGAAGTTAGATCGATCGGTTTTAGAACCAGAGTCCATTTAGATTAGTCTCCTTTTCTCGAACGCGTAGAATCGCTGCGCTCTCGATCGTGTGCACGATCTACGATTTCCTCCGTTCTAAAACGAAACGTGAAAGAAAGTCACCATGTACTTTCTTTTTTTTTTTTCTGCTCGAAATATCGGGAGGAAGGACGAGTAAAATCGGCACACGATTTCGAGAGTGCGGGAAGGGTGCCTCGCCCGGAGAACTTCTCCGCTCGCTCGAACACCGAAGCAAGTTTCTTTCTCGCTCGTCGAACATCGCGAAAGGAAGGTTCGTCGTGCGAGAAATCAAGTTTACGATCTCGCGAGTAATATCGCGAGTGTCGCGAGTTTCGACGAACGTTCTCGAGGATTTTTCCGCGGCGAAGGTCGAGAACCGACGCGAGTAGTACGCGCGAGTGTAGAAACTTTTTAACAGCCCATCCATTGTGATAGTTTCTCCAAAAGATTATCCAAAGTGAATGGAATACTCTGTTGCCCGAAAAAAAAGCGAGACACACCAAAAAAAAAAAAAAAAACTACAGACAAACCCGTCGAGATCTTCTCCACCGTCCCTCTCTCCCCCATTTTCAATCACTCTGTCACTCTTTCGCTCATTCGTTCCTTCGCATTCACTTGCATCCACCTTTACACGCACTCAACATCACATACGTGATCCACCTTGATTCCCTCTGTTGAAAACATACACGCAACACGCAGTTGTCCCCGTGCAGAGCAAGATGTTTGAAGAGATTAAAACAAAAAANTTTTTTTTTTTTTTTTTTTCGTTAGTTCTACGTTTCATTTTCTTTTTCTCCGTGTCATCATTTCTTCGAAATCATCCTTTTTTTTTCCTTTTTTTTTTTTTTTTTCGTTACACCGACGATCGAGGTCGGAAAGAAAGGAAAAAAGAAAAAAGAAAAAAAAGAAAATGAATTTCTACGCAGAAAATGCGACGAACACGGCATGTAGAGTATAGAATCGTCGAAGAATCGAAAGATCGCTGGTGTAGAGCCCCTTAGTTCGTTCTGTTGCAACTTTCAGTTGGTTGCGAAGCTCGAAAAAGGCTCAGCCTATCCTCTTCACAGTGAGACCACGCTAGAAATCCAACCACCACCTACCACCACCATCACCACTACTACCACTACCACCACGATCATTCACCCAAGTTGCTCAAAACAATTGTTTACGAACGTCCTCCTCGAACGAAGGACGGCGGGCCACCGTCGTCGAAAAGAGCGACGGACGTCACTCGCACGCGTACCACCACGTAATCACGTTTCGTCGATTAACACGATCGATTATTGGGCATCCCTAAACCTACAAACGCAGGGTCGAAAGCGGCTAGCGTTCACGATCAAGCAGAAAATGAAGATCATCCAAGAGATCGAACGCGGTAAGAGCAAGAGCGACGTGGCGCGCGAGCTGGGTCTGGCTAGCAGCACGGTGGCCACCATCTGGAAGAATCGGGAGAGCATCGCGGAGAGTTGGAGGAACCGCGACATGATGCACCACTCTGATGTCGAGGACTCGGTCGTGAAAAAGTCCGGCCTCTCCTCGTCGTCCAATTTGGCCTCCGTCGCGTCCTTGGTGACCAACAATACGGTGTTAAACACCGTAAACACCATCAACAGCAGCACCACCAACGTCACGTTGCCCGCTGCCGTCGTGGTGACACCGCCACAGGTGCAGGTGGTGCCGCCGCCGCCACCGCCGCCACCACCGCCACCGCCGCCGCCTCTCCCATTGCCGACCACCCCCGCCACCTCCGCCACGGTCGTCCCGTCGACCTCGCAACCGACGCAGCTCTCCACACCGCCAACCTCCAGCACCGCGTCCACTGGCACCACCACCACCACCATCAACGCCAGCATGGACAATACCCAGCAGGCCCAGACCCAGACGCAAAGTCAGGAGCTTCTGGAGGTAAGATGTCGTATGACGCCTCCCGACCCACCCCCCCCAACCCCCGCCACCCTCCGACCGATATATATATATATATATTTTACCCTCGAATAACTCGAGTGTCTTCTACCAACCCTCAGTTTCTCTCTCAGTCTCTCCGCCCTGGATCAAACCTTCCATCGCGAGCCGCGTCCTCGAGGTTTCTTCTTCCCCTCGTACTCGCGGGGAGAGAATTCCACGATGGAATCCATCAAGCGGTGCTCTTTGCATATGGAACTTGATTCTCAAAGTTCCTTACATCAAATGGCACTACTTGTGACAACGGTGTTCGGCGATATTGTAACTTTCCAGGGAGCCGCTTCTCTTAAAGAAATGTTTGCCGTTTCGCGATCCGGGACGATCGTCTCTCGTTTGACAATTCCAACGTAAATGCGTAAACGTATGTTTAAACACGAGAACGAATTAATTCGTCGAGTGCGAAATTATTTTCGAAGCCGTTTCCTGAACAAGTTCTTTGCCCGAAGCCGGCTTCCGGCACCGCCGCCATTCTTTCTACGAATCCTTTGTCCATTAGTTGCACTCTTGATTAATTGCTTTCGAGGAATTCCGCTGTCTCTCACCTCTGCCTTCACGCTCGAGAGTCCCCCTCCCCCCACCCACCCATCAACCTACCCCCCTGTATCGCGAGACGCGAACTGCATTCTACGATCCTACATCGTCATTAAACCTTCATCGACTTCATGTTCGCTAATGAGCGTTACCATCGTCCTTCTGATTCGTTCGTTCAACCTCCCCATTCTCCCCATTTCCCCGTCGTGTTTCCACCACGTCTCTTTTTTTTTTTCCTCCTCCCGATTTGCAAGAGGACCCAGACGAAAGACCTCTCGAGGTAAGACTACGATTGCCTGATTTTCTATGTCGTCGATCCCGTTTCTTTTTTTTTTTTTTTTTTTGTTCCTGATCGAGATCTTTTCTAACCTCTGTTACCCGCGATCGTCCGACTTACTTCCTCCGTCATTTCATCGCCTCTACTCTGTCCATTGCTAGATTAAGCGTATCACGATGTGACGAACCAGAGGTAAGATACTAAGATTATAACTTCGTCTCTTTCAGACGTTTCTCACGCCAAGTATTTTACATAAGTCATACTCCGAAGCGGACCATGTCAACGTGTCTTTTTTTTTTTTTTCTTTTTCTGTGTTCTCAATCGTTTGCATCCGACATCTCTTCTACATTCATCGTACCTGCGAATCTTTTTTTTTCATACTTTTTTTTTCTCCCTTATCATCGACCATCTTTGCGTTTCTTTCATTTTACTCTTACATTTCTCTCTCTCTCTCTCTCTCTCTCTCACTCTTTCTCTCATTTTCTTTCTCTCTCTCTCTCTCTCTCTCTCTCTTTCTCTCGCCATTTATACGCGTGTTTCCCTTTAACGAATCCGGGATTTTTGTTGAGAGTCTCTTGGGGGAAAAGAAATGAAGGAAGTCTGACCAGGTCACGAGTTTACTCTTATTTTTCTCGCGTGCTGGGTTGACATTTTCTTTTCGCTTGTCTCTTTCGTTTCTTCTGTTGTCTTCGTAGTGTCTGCAATTTACTTCTAATCGCTCTCATCAAAAAAAAAAAAAAAAAGAAAAAACGATGGTCCGGGTTTTCCTGCATCGACGGAAAGGAAACGTTTTCACGTGAACGGCGCCTCGTGTCGCGTTGTCGTACGTTCACGCATCATCATCGTACACGGCCGCCGGAATCGATGGGGTTTACACGCGATATCGTCGTCTGTTTCTTATTAGACCATCGAACTTTACCGCTCGAGCCATTAAACGGTTTCTTCCTGTGCGGTCGCGTGCGCTCGGCCTTCCCTTGGAAATTTTCGAAAAGGCTCGCTCCGAGAACCACAGTGATTTTCTCTCGAGATTTCGAGACGACGTGTAACGAGTCGAGAAATGCGAAATGGTCGAAGGTACGAAAACAGGTACACGAGCACCAGTAGCCACGTTTATAAAATACCTGTGCATCACGTAGCGATCGAATGAAAGAGGACACATATACACACAAACACACACATGCGCGCGAGCGCGTATATAGATGCGCACACAGTGCTTTTGTAGGGTCAGACACGCCGAGTGATAACAATATCGACACATCCCTGGCACACGCCAAATTGAGTCCGTTTTCCTTTTTTGTTTCTCTCTCTTACTCTCTCTCTCTCTCTCTTTCTCCTCGGTTTTTTTTCAAAACGCAATAAACGCGAGAAAATGAAGTTGAAACTGTTGGACTGGCTTTACAGGGCGATTCACGCGGTGTCACTGGCGGTGAGAATTTTTGAAGTTGATAGCGTAATCCGACGCCAATGTGTTGGAGGATTTTTGATTTTTTTATCTAACGAAAAATGTAATATCGTGAAAAGCGAGAAAGTTATCACGTACGTGTATATGTATGTTTTTTACTTTTTCTATTACATTATATATATATATATATTTTTTCGTTTTTCAATCAAAACTTTCTACAATTTTTATGAATCACTCTGTATACGCGTGCTAAAATGAGCTCTATCTTTAATCCGTCAAACAAAATTGCTGAGATAAAAGAGAGAGAATATAATGGAATTACGATTTTCGAATAGTTAAACGGCCATTCGTATAAACGAAATCGCATTTGCATCGATTACATACGGACCTGCGCGTCGAACGCTTAACTTTTCAAATTAAGCTCTTCAATCGGTCCTCTTTTTTTTCCGGATGCGCATTTGAAAAATATTATCGCTCAATTTGGTTCGAACGCCGTAAGAACTTTTCTCTCTCTCTCTTTCTCGATTCACTCACACTATACTTGGAAAGAACGAGAGAAAGTTTCGAGATTCAACGTCGATATTGTTACGAAGATTAACACGGTAGAATTATGCGTAGAAAAACACAAGGAACCTTCTTTTTTTTTTTTTTTTGTTCCTCAAATAAGAAACAGGAAAACGTACAGTATCTGCGGAACTGTGTGAGGATAAATTAAAACGATACTGATATTGTAATATCGACACTGTCGCAATGCTATCCTGTGCCTAGCTTCTCCTGTCACTATATATATATATATAAATATATACAAGAAATAACAGCTAGCTACATGATTATCCAGCATGCTATATTTTTTTCAAATTTTTACGTGTTTTCTACCCGATTACCGGAGTATCGCTGCCCATGCAACTCAAGCGCTTTCTTTTCCTCTCGCTCAAAACAATTTCTCTCCCTTTTTTTTTATATTTTTATTCTTATTTGATCCTTTTCTCAATTTCGTTCTTTCTCAATTTTTTTTCACTTCCTTTTTCCGCGTCTCGTTTCGTGTTTTCTTTTCCCCTTCCTCCTCTCTTTATTTAAAGTCAAAGGAAGAAAGAAAAAACAAAAAAAAAAAATGTTGTCGCGTGAAACATGTAACGTTATCTATTCGATTAATCGTTGCCTACGCTCTGTTTGTAATTACCGCTCTTTATTATTACTGTTGCCGTTACTCTGATTAGCATTATAATTATGAATTATTATGTATTTAACAGAGACCACGACCACTGCTATTAAAACTCTTTGTAATTTAAACAAGTTACTACTCCACAACACTTTTCTAACAAATACTCCACTATTTTTATCATTATACTAGCTTCAGCGATTAATACGTCACCGATATTATTATATCACTATAATATGTGCATAATACATAAGGCGAGTATATTTGCTTGGCTCCTGCATGCGCTCTCTTCCTGTTTCTCTTTTTCTCTATCTTCGTTCTCTCTGTCTTCTCACGATTCTCTTCTACTTTTTCTTCTTCTTCTTCTTCTACTTCTTCTTCTTTCGATCGCTTCGAAAGTTTATACTATCTTATACTCTCTCTTTTTAAACACTCTTCGACTTTCTACTTTACTTTCGTCTTTTTTCTTGTACAAATTATGGTGGTGGTTTATAATATACATATTTATATATATACATATTTCTTATATTATATATATTATATACATACATATATATATATACACACACGTTTTATATATATTTATATCAACTAAATATTTCATAATGTTGTCTATATATTTTTCTCTCTAGTAGTTGGTGAGAAACTTTTGGTTTCGTTCGAGAAGATTCCAATCTTATTCATTTCTCTCTCTCTCTCTCCGTGTTCCGTTCCGTGATCCACACGGGTCACGTGGTTTCCCCACGAACGTAAAACCACGGAACACGGGGAAACACGTCGGTTTATTTCAAATTCTCTGCTTGGCTGCCAATTCTTCTTTCTCTCTGTTCGTCATTTCCTTCCACGATTGTTTGTTCTGTTTCCACGATTTCTTTTCTCTCTCATTCTCTCGACGTTCTGTCTGTATATTATCGTCACACGTTTTTACTTTTTCTTTTTTTTTTTTTTTCGAAGTTCTCTCGTCTCTGTCACGAGATTTTCTACGAAACAGCATGCGTACGATTTTTGCCCAGTGTTTCTTATTCTTTCTCTTCGTATTTTTTCTTTTTTTTTTTTTTTTTCTCTCCTTCGAAAACATTTGGTGGAGGGGAATTTCCATCAAGAGTCTCGTGACTCCAAGACACTAGCTGGTTTTTTTATTTTTTGTACATTATCTTCCGTTCTCGTTATCGTTCCCAATTTGAATCTCGATCCGATCGAGCTACGTCGGCCAATTATGCAGGATGCTACAAAAAAGAAAGGATCCAAGATTTGAATCCATAATTGACTCGCTCAAAAGGAGTGAAGAACGCCCGAAGAATCAACGTGAATTCTACAGGACAGAAATTTCTTTTTCCACGTTCGATGCATCCTTTTTTTTTTTTTTTTTTTTTTAAATACCAGTACGAGATACAAGTGTAAGTTCGCAAAGTTCTTAGATCTTTTTCTTCTTTTCGTTACGATTCTCTGTTCGCGACGTGTGTTCTTGTCGAATTTTACGTTTATCAATTTGTCAACAAAAAAGAAAGAGGGAACTCATAAAAATCGCCACGATTTCAATTCTAAAGTTCCGAAGAATACACATCGATCTATCGAAAATCTGGCAATCTTTTATTAGAAGGCACTGAGATCGATCGAAGTAATAACCATCGTGCCTCGATTAGAGAAATTAGAGTTTAGACACGCTAGATTTAGATACGCTTGTCTCCCTGTCACCGACTGTCTGCTAAACGTAGTCGCGTCCGCTTGTACACAGTAGCGCTTTCGATCACGAGTAGCACGAAGAGACCGCGATTTTTCTCGCGAGAAGATACGTAGACTCTCGGAAGAAAAATTTACAATTTACAATTTACATCGCCGGGTAGAAATTTTCGAGATCGTAGGCAAGAGAAGTTTACAAAGGTGCACGGACTGCACACGCGGTATCTAAGGAGAGAAACGATCGGAAAGCAGAACAAAAGTAAGATCTACGCGACAGAACCTCCTATGCATATAATTCTCTTTTTTTTTTTAATTTTTTTATGCCTTTTTTTCACAAAATCCTTCGATTAGTTTAGATATCTTTCGTTGCTGAAAAAAAAAAAAAGAAAAAATGCTTTCGCGGTATCGTTAAAAGATCGAGAGGAAAAAAGAGAAGAAGTAGGGACCTGCGAGATTAAAAGCAAAAAAAAAGGAAAAATCCCCGCGAAAGCGAAAGTCAGAAAATAAAAGAAAAAAAAAAAAGAATTAAAAAGCATTAAAGAGAAATCATTGTGTAAGTTCGGCCCTCCGAAAAATAATGACGTGATACGAGTGACGTGTGTATATGGCATGTGCGCAGGCTCGGAAAAAACGGCAGGAAGAGGTGGAGAAGATACGACTGGAAGAGCAACAACGGAAGCAACAGGTAATCCTAAAATCGTTGTTACACGTTAGCCCGGTTTCTCTATGTTATAAACCCTCTTATTTCACATTTTTACTCCCCCTCCCCCCTCCCACCCTTCCCCGCCCCCCTCGGTCTTCGTTTTATCAAAGTGAAAGAAACACGGACCAGCAACTTCGTTCGCGGTGCACGCTTTATTTAACAACAAATTGAATCTCAACTTGTTACCCCTCTCCCCGGTTCTTGCTCCCTGCTACCAACAGTCAATCGTAAATTCGTCGAATTACCTTCCCTTTTTCGTATGTTGCAATACCATACGGTATTCAAAAATCCGACGTTACTGTTAACATCACCGAATGAAATCGGTTTTGTCGGCGTGGACAAGTCCTCAAAGTGGAATGTAATTTGTCGCGGAGAATTGAATCAGACCATACGGGAATCGTGGCGCGTTAACGTTTTCCCTTTTGCCTCGTTGAACGAACACCACGGTTTGTGTCCTCGGTTTTCTCCTAGAAAGTTGGTTAAATTTCTTTTTTCTTTCTCCTCTCTCTCTCTCTTTCTATCTCTCCGTTTTTTCTGTTCGTTACCTCGCCCCGCGCGAAAACGCGTACGTCTCTCCAGCTTCGTTAGTTGCTTTTTAGAAGAACGATATTTTTAAACGAGAAACGGGAGAAAAATGACCACGAGCATTCTCTTGTGATTTTCCCAGGAACGGGAGCTGAAGCGGCAGCAGGCGGTTATGCTGAAAGAACAGGTGAGTCCAATTGAATTCACCGTCATTTTCAAACGTTATATTCCTCTCGGATCGTGTCATTGCTGTAGTATAGACGATATGCGTGTGTTGCGCGTGTATGTGTGTCCTTTTTTTCCTTTTACTTCTCTCGTAGAAAAATGCATTAACTTCCGTTTCATGTATACCCTCTTGATCTACACATCGGCTTACGTTCATTCGTTTTCTACATTTACTAATCTGCCACGCGATTAAATATTCAGTTATATATTATATATCTGTTGTCATTTTCATTATCCACTTTCGTCGCGTATTTATTTCATTTCATTTTAATTTCTTTTCTTTTTTATTTTTATTTTTTTAATTTTTTTTTTTTCTTTGTTCTTTGAATCAAACGTTCATTCATACACTACTATTTTAGATTTCGCCTCTCATTTGCATTTGATGTCTGTTTTTTCTTTTTTTGTTGTAAATATTTTGCAATACGAAAGCAAAGCTATAACGACGGTGAGGAGATGCAGAGTTTATCGATTCTTTCGAGTCGTTTCTCCACAGAGTTCTGTTACACGTGTTTGCTTCTTTAGTTTTTGTGATACACTGTACTGTAATCTCGTCTCTTTGGTTTGCCGAAACGTAGATAATCGCGGTACTCCACCGCGTGTCTCTATGATTGCCTTGAGTTCTCGTTTTCCGTGTGAATATGGCCTTGACGTAGCTATACGGTATGGAATTGGACGATCAACTCGAACAAAATTCAACACAATCGCAATTCAAACGTTCAGTTGAGATTTCTTGCGACGATCGCGAATTGGTCACTGTGATAAACAGGAAAGCTTCGAAATCAATCTTGTTCCGACATCAGATACAAGAGAAAGTATTCTAAAAGGAAGCGCACCTCTCGCTAAAATTCGCTCCGTCTCTCGAGACTTTGACTTCGTGATTTAAAAAGCCACGTCAAAGAAACCGAGATGTACTGTTAGTTTTTGAGCGTGAAACGAAAAGAGATATAGTTTGAGCACTGGTGGACTGTGGATGTGTTTTGTGCCGCAGATGTACATGCAGGAGCTCACCAAGCAGCGCGAGATGCTCTACACCGTCGAGCTGGTATGTCTCATACCCAATCTAGTTTAATTAAGACGACTTCACTAAAACGGAACGAATCGAATTTCCCTCCTTCCCAAACTTTAAACTCGTCACTGTCTACGAAAACAGAAAAAGAAAAAAAAAACAGAAGAGAAGAAGAAAAAATGAAACAGAAATCATCGTTAATCTCTCGTCTGACGATCGATCGAAAATCTTAATCCACGGAGTATCTTCTTTGAAAAAACAGTTTCGTCGCTTTACACGACAAACGACGGTTGAATTCTGTTCAAAGATTTTGTCGACAGTTCGCTGAACGATCCGACAACGAAAAGGTAGACCGACTGACAAGTTCAAAGTTACCACGTCCGATTGTGAATCACCATTAATTGAAACTAATCTGCACTACGGAGACTCGTCGGTTTCTCGTCGAGGATCTTGCAATCTGCCACGAGTTATCGACGATCGCAATTGTCGCGATTCGTTAAGAAAAAAAAAAAAAAAAAACGACGAATACACTTCGCTGCGCGAGCCAACACTAATGCTTTTCCAGAGATCCACGTTCACTAACCAGTCCCTCGGTGACGATGTTCGAGTTCGTTTTCCCGCGACATCAGTCATATACTGCATCCTAACACGCTTCTCTCTCGCTTCGTTCACATTAGATGGAAAATTCAGATTTGCTTTCACCTATCACGTAACAGTAAACGATAACGAAAAGAAAGACGCAATGTAGCAAAACGCAGTGATCATTCGACGAAAACTAGCGAAACTAGTGGTAGTCGAAACGTTGAAAAACAGTGTGGTTGGGTAAAGAAAGAAAAAAAAAAAAAAAAAAAAAAAAAAAAAAAGAAGAAAAAAAAAAGAGGACAGTTTTGCACGATTTGTTGATTTTTTTGAACAAAACCAAAAGTCGAGAATTGCCTCCTCTGAAAACGGCAGTATCTATGGAAACTATGGTCGTAGAGTTTGTCGTAGTCCGTGCGTGCCAAAGTTGTGCTTCTAACAGTTGAGGTCTTCTGAGGAAAAACCCTCTCTCTTTTTCTCTCTCTATTTCTTTGCATGGAACGCTCTCTTTAAATCTGTCCCTACGTGTTTCCCTCGTTTGAATTCGTTTCGTTGGAATACTTTAGGAGAGAGAGCGGAGGAGACAGCACATGGCGTTGGTTCGAGCACTAGAGAATCGTCGAAAAATGGAGGAGAAGGAGAAGAAACGATTGGAGGCGAGGGCCGAGAGAATAGCGACGAAGGAGAAACGTGCGGAACAGAGGAAGGTGGAGATGGAACTGATCGAACAGATCAGAAAGCCTGTGGAGGACATGGAGCTAACGGGTAGGGGTTCGCCGGCTTTGCCGAGCTTTTGTTCGACCGGTTTAGAGTTTCTCCGACGTTCAGATGTTCTCCTTCGTTTTGCAGATCATAGATCACTGCCAGAATTGAAGCGAATACCCGGTCTCAAGCTGTCTGGCCAGGCGTTCGCAGACATCGTGATGGTGTTCGAGTTTCTGCATAATTTCGGTGAAACCTTAGGCTTCGGTGAGTCCGTCTTTTTATCGATTGCTTTCGAATAGCCTGATCTCTCACAGAGATCTGTTGAATTTTTTGAGAGACTCGTCCCGATGTTTGGCTTATGGCTTCGAAGTCTTCTTCGTTTCCAATCTAATTATTAATCAATCGTGTTATCTCCACTCACTCAGATATGGAGTCGCTGCCAAGCCTAAAGAGTCTTCAGCTGGCGCTGCTGAACGACGAGGAAGCCGAGGAGGAACTCCTTTCGGTAATGACGCATCTGCTGGTATGCGCGATCGAGGATCCTGGGATCCCTCAACCAGCGAGACACACGACCGGCCTTGGTCAGAGTTTGCGTCAAGCTGACATAACGCACGCCAACATCAGCGAGGTTTTGCGAATCTACTTGTACGCGAACGCGACAGGGGAGGTGAAGGCTTTGACAGGCGTGTGTCTGGAACGAGAACGCGACAAAAAGTTCGCGGATCATCATCAGAACGGTGGCGACTATGCCTCGACTTGCTCGGGCAAGAACGCCCAGTTCTACGAACATTTGCACAATAACGAGACCTGGAAGATGTCCGAGAGGTTGAGGGACAAACCATTCCTAGCCTTGAATCCGACGCACAAGGCGCAGATGCTCGCGTTCCTCTGCAACGAGCTGTTGCAGAACAAGGCTGTGATCAGACAGATCGAGGGTAGCTTGGAAACGGTGGCTCAATTGAGAAAAGAGAGATTCGTTTTGGACACGAAGATCAGAAAGTAAGTATCATCTCCCCTTCTGACACCGCCTATACTGCGACGCATACTACGAACTACTTTTGCTTATTATTGTTTCTTCATAGGCTGAGACAATTGCACAGTCGAAAAGTGCGAATGGAGGCGGTAGGGGTGATCGTCAATAAAACTGGAGACACTATCACGATCGAGAAGAAAGAGGTCGACGAGGAAGGTAACACGACGTCGACAGCAGTGGGAACAACGCCTACTCCCGACGAAATTCATCACGAAGACGAAGTTGAAGACATGTCCGAGAATGAGAGCGAAGGGACTCAACCCGAAGAGGTAATCTTACGTACTTTTCGATTACATATTTATTATAAATTACATACGGCCGGTCGTTCTGTTCTGAATGAAATGATAATTTTAATCATCTCTCGCGCGTGACTTAGGAGGAGGACAAGAATCTGTCTGGCGAGGAGCTCGGCAAGAAATTGGATAAACTGTTGAAACAATCGGAAGAGCAATTGCAGAAATTGAACAGCTCCTCGAAGCAGCTACGAGCGCATATATTTGGGCAAGACAGGTACTGGCGAAGATACTGGGAACTGGCATGCGCAGGCGGCATTTTCGTGGAGGCCATGGAAAGCGCCGAACCTGAGATCCTCGAGCTGCAGGCTGAACTAGACGAAAAGTACAAAAACGTGGCGGTGGAAGAGAAGTCGGAAACAAAACAGGAGGACACGAAGGTCGAGAATCGCGAGAACGAGGCACCGAACGACGTGAAGAAGGAGAAGAAATTCAATTCGAACGAGCAAGAGGAGGACGCGAAACCTTTGGCGGATAAAACGAAGTCTGAAATCGAGAGGAATGATGATTGCAAGAAGGAACCGATGCAGAACTGCGAAAACTTGACGAACGTGAAGGAGGAGAAGAAGAACGATTTGGACAATTCGGTGGCCGATGCGAAGACCAACGTCACGTCTGAGGAGATCAAACAGGAAACAGAAGTGGTCAATATGGATGTGGATGCGAAAGAAGAGACGAAGAAAGAGAACGATGAAACGGACGAGGACGTGAAACCGGCGGTGAAAATGATGGAAGATAAAATCGTCGAAACGATCCCAAATGGTGACAAGTTTAACCATGTTAATAACCTTCACAACGGAAAGGAATTAAACGGCACCTTTATTTCTAGTAAGATTCCTTTCGTTTATCGCTGACAAGCGAAGTCTGGATCACTCCAGATGCGTTTTATTAATTTTGTTTACCCGCGTAATTGCAGATAACAGCAACGAATCCAATTGGTTCTCGATTTTACCTCGGGAGACTTGCGATACTCCAGGACCAAGTACCAAGCAAATATTTGGCATAGCCGAACCAACCGAATTAAGAATACCAGTATTCCCTCCGCCGGCTAGTCCGAACTACGACAGATGTGACAGTCCAGCTCCTTTGATTTTGACTCAGGACGAGGCAGCGCAGCTTGAATACTTGAAAGTGCACGGTTTGCCACCCCCTGGAGAAGCGAAACCAGTACCGAAGGGTAAGTAATACACGAGTTGAAAAATCATCGTTTGATCAAAATTTTCAAGAAAATCACATCTCCTGTCACTCGCGTGTGTTTAGACCTGAGATACGGTTGGTGGAGAATAACGGACGTCGACACGTTTCAAGAACTGTTGGAACACCTTCATTCCCGCGGCGTTCGCGAGAAGGAGCTAAAACGAACAACGTGGGCGACCATGGAATCCTTCCTAGCTGTTACCGGCAAGATCAACGTGGATCCGGGTAACCTTACCGCTACCGAACTTCAAGCGACGCCCGACGAACCCGACACACCGATTCCGAAACCGGACAACCCAGCAGACTGGAGCGAGCAAGTCGCGTTACGTGTTGACGCGCAATTATTGGAACAAGTCGAGGCACTGGAAGACAAAGTTGCAAATGCCAGCATGCAGGTCAAAGGCTGGAAGTTGCCTCCACGGGCAGGAACCGAAGAGGCCGAAGAAATTGAGAAACTGAACGAAATGGAGAAAATTAGCGCGGTTGAACAAGCTCGACAAAGGTTACTGTCTCTGGAAGCAGCTATCGAGAGGAGATACTTGAAACCACCGTTAGGTGTTTGGTAAGACTGTTTGGTCCATTAGCAACTATTTAGGATTCTCTACGTTACAATTGAGAAATGAAATATCATTTTATCTCTTTGTTTTAAATTGCAGTACGGGAGATCCCAATCTAGCGGCTTTGAAGGCAGAGCAAGCGGCCGCTGCGAACGCAAATTCGAGTAATTCGGATCAGAGCAATCAGACCCCGGTACCTCAAGAAGAAACGACTCCAAGGGGGCTGAACAACTGGCGAGAAGCTACGGCACGAGCACATACATCCGCTCAGCTTGCCATGGCGCTTTATATGTTGGAGGCCAGCATCGCTTGGGACAAGAGCATCATGAAGGCTGTGAGTCTAACACCAGCTAGAAACTCGGTCTGCGTCAAGCTACGAAACCGCTGCGTCTCACTCAAAGCTACCACTCAATACAATCAGCTATTGACTACTTCTCAGGCCTCTGTGGGTATTCGCACTAACTTACTAACCAAAGTATCCTTCTTACTTCCTGCGTGACTTTATTCTCCTTCCTTGCACAGTGAACCACAGAGAACATTGTCACTTTCGACGGTGATTGGTAAACATTTGGTCAAACGAAATCCTTCTATCGTGATACTTTGCAATAATATTACGCATTTACACCCGGTCCGTGGTAATTTTTACAAGTGCGAATAATGCGGCAGCCATTTAGCGAAAAATCAAATACCAAAGAATTCGATTGTTCGATGTATTTTGATTATTGTTGTTCAATTTACAATTGCTACAATTCGAAAGAGAAATAATGATGCGTTAATGCGTTTAATGGTGGTTAGAGTTTAACGTAACGGTAGCATGCAAGAAAATATGCCGCTTATCGTCTGCTAATTTTTTTTTTCCTTTATTGCTTCATATTTTTCCTTTCGTAGAATAGCTTCGATATTTAGTTATGACAACGTCATATCATAATGCATAATCTAAACATCGAAATACATTACGTTATTTATTTATCCCAATCAGTTGTTCCCATACTCAATCTTAATTATACGTTTAATCATAACAATCGGTATGCACGGAATTAAGATTAAAATGCTTTACGCTAATTTCTTTAATTAAATATTCCTGAATGTTGATTTATCCCATTTATTTACTATATTTTTTTGCTGATTAACATTTGTTGCATCGATGGGGTTTGGTTCTAAATGCTTGAATAACAAATACTCTGACATTGAAATTAATTTACCCCGAATGATCTTATCACTTTAAATTGGAAAGTTTTCTTTTTCTGTTACAGAATTGTCAGTTCTGTCATAGCGGAGATAATGAAGACAAACTATTATTGTGTGATGGTTGTGACCGCGGCTATCATACTTATTGTTTCCGTCCAAAAATGGAAAACATTCCTGATGGTGACTGGTAAGGAATTAAAATACCAAGAACATCTAGCGAATAATAAGAACTCCATTTGTAATTGAACAACTGTGAATGCCTTAGGTATTGTCACGAATGCATGAACAAAGCCACAGGAGAGCGAAACTGTTTGGTATGTGGAAAGAGGGTTGGTAAAAACTTAGTGCTATGTGAACTCTGTCCACGGGCTTATCACACTGACTGCCACAATCCTGTTATGCCAAAAGTAAGTAACTCTTTCATCAACCATTTACGGAACATCAAGTTGAAGTTCTCCTTGAATATAAAATAGTATAAAATATTTTTATCCACCTGATTCACGCGAGCTTGATATTTTCAGATGCCAAGGGGAAAATGGTATTGTTCTAATTGCCACAGTAAACAACCAAAGAAGAGAAATAGTAGTCGAAGGAGTCATACCAAAGGAGGAGGCACCAGAGAAAGTGAAAGTTCTGAACATCCACCAGCTAGGTGATTACGTTAAAAAACATTGTCAACCAAACATTGTCAACTCGCTGACTTAACAACGTTTCATACGAAGTATACAGTAGGGAAAACATCTACGAAACCGTGACTCAATAATTATAACATTGTTCAGCGAACGCATACGATGAACAAACAATTTCCGATCGAATACGAATCAAAAACAAAAACTGCTTTAAAACGAACGAACATGGAAAGTATACATTGTTCTCATGCGATTATACCGACTTACATCCCCGACTCATATCGTATATACTCGACGAGAATTATTGTTGTAAGGAAGTAATTTACTTCATACAGGGTGTTCCACGATAGACTAATCGTAGTTAATGCTCTTCTATTAACTGAAAAGCAATCGTCGATAGGTAGGTTTTTCTTCGTTCGAGCGAAGTGAATATATTATCATGTGAACATATATTATCGTGTCAGGCCCCTACTCGTCGGGGGACACCCTGTACTTTGTACAGCGTGTTACGATCATCGACTATGGGATGGGTATTTTCTTAGATAATTCGTCGTAACGGTAGTGCTGTCTTCAGGTTCTATGATTACTCGAAAATGTATAAATAATAATAATATTAACATTAATAATAATAATAATAATGATAATAATAATAATAATAATAACAATAATAATAATAATAATAATAATAATAAAGTCTAGAAGGACAAAAACGGCGAGAGAGAAAAATGCGAGACCAAGTAAAAATGAAAGACAAAGAGTCAGAAAGACGAAATGTTCCATCGAGAACAACGTACCCGTCTCAAGCAGAAAAAACACGCTCGAATCTTAATGCATTCGTCCAGAAGCTTTTATGACGGAAAAATCTCCTGCAAACGAGAAAGATAATCGTGCAAATAATTTCTGTTGTTTTGCGTCACAGTCCAACGCCGTCAACGGCATCGAACACACACGTAGAGGACGTCAGTTCATCGGAACCAGCAACCCCAACTGCCTCGCCACGGAAGGAGGGAAACAATAGGACGCTCACGAAGAAACAACAACGAGAGTTGGCTCCTTGTAAGGTGCTACTCGAACAGTTGGAGCAACAGGACGAGGCCTGGCCGTTCCTCTTGCCGGTGAACACCAAACAGTTTCCTACCTACAAGAAAATTATTAAAACACCCATGGATCTCAGTACGATCAAGAAGAAATTGCAGGACTCCGTGTAAGTTACACGCGTACCAACGACTACTAGTTAATTGAACGTACTCTCTATTTAGAAATGCCTCTTTCCCTAAAAACTAAAAAAAAAAAAAAAAAAAAAAGTAAACAGTTCACCTAAGATCTCTAGCAAAAAAAAGCTCTAACGTGATCGTCAGCTTCAATCCGAAACAAATTGGAAAATTGCCGAATATGTTCCAAAGAGTGCTTCTCGATACAGGTACAAGTCTCGCGATGAGTTTTGCGCCGATGTCAGACAGATGTTCATCAACTGCGAGGTATTCAACGAGGATGACAGCCCCGTGGGGAAGGCTGGACACGGAATGCGCAGTTTCTTTGAAATGCGTTGGACCGAGATTACTGGCGTACCACCTCCACACCCACAAACGCATAGCTGAGGCTCGGTTCGTTCTCGCAACACCTGCAACAGTTTTGCCCACTTCTACTACTAGAGGGTAGACCTTTCGGTCACAGAGTATCATTCGGGATCGTCCAAAGAAAAACTATTGGCGAATCCTGTCTTCTCCGTGCTTCGTCGGCCTCGTTCTAGCGGTCGACTGAACAACTTTAATTCTAATAGAGAGAGAGAGAGAGAGAGAAAGAGAGAGAGAGCGAGAGCGAGAGAGAGCGAGAAAACAAAGTAATAAAAAGTCCACGAATGCGGGTATATCTTCGTAGGCGTCGCATTACGCGCGTGTTACACATTCGTCTCTCCTAATCTTACTCGTGCTCATTACTCGCCCGTAATCGACGCTCGCGTGGCTGCTTCTCTCATTCTAATCACACATATACTTTAATACTCCAAGTAATCTAATGGTGGCGAACGTGTTTAACGGCTCATACTTCTTCTTTCTGTAGCATCAACGACGAACTTGACAAAAAAAAAAAATAAAAATAAAAATAAAAATAAAAAAAAATGAAAAAAAGAAAAAATACCGCGGTGTTACAAGAATTCTGTATTCGTCGAGACGTTCCATTGTTGAACGAAACTCAAGTTGCGTTCAACGAACGAGATAAGGATTGTAAGTAGGGTAAATGAGAGAAGCTTTATCGTGACCGGAAGCCGTGACAGAGAGATTTTACGATATATATTACATTTTGTGATTCGGAGCTTCTTAAGTTCGACGCGACTAAACAACACCCGTATATCATGGGGACGCATCTACTCATTCGAAGACTCCAACCTCCCCTTCCCCGAATAGAAATGAAACACAATGCAGATGGTCACTGTACTTACCGAGTAAAAAACAAGTAAATTTTTGCCTAAGCGAACAAGAATGTAATTTGCGATTGTATTATACAGGCTTAGTGCCGACGTGTCGGCAAAAGAAATATTTTGCAAATTAATGAATGTGAAAAGAAGAGGTATAAATATATATAAATATAAATATAAATTTAAATGTATAAATATGAATATAGTGTATATGTATACTATATAGATAGTCACGTCACATGAAACATACAACACACACATAACACCTCTGCCCACGAAAACATCAGCACGATAAGGGTAACATTTGCTGTACAGTAAGATATACAACAGAATGACGAACAAAGTCAATCTTCCAATTAAGGACGGAGTTAATGCCATTCCACGGATTCTTTGTCCCTTCTTTTTTTTTTTTTTTTTTTTTACTAATTTGCGCTTTTTACCTTATTTATTTATGTTTGAATCATGAATGAACGGAAATGAAGCTTCTTGATTGAATGTTTGCAAGCAAATATAGAATAGCTTAATACCTCGACGTGAATTCTTTAAAAAAAAAAAGAAGAAATGTGAATCTTTATCTGTGTTAAATGAACCTTGATGAATAATTTGCAAGAAACATATAAGATATAGAATGAAATAAAATATATGAACGTTCAGAGCATACACCGTTAAAGTCTGATGCGGACAGTTTTTGTTAACTAAAGTACGTTTTAATAAATCCATTTGCATGATTAAAACTAGTGACTGCAGTGACTCAACTGATATCGGATTCAAATATCATATGTGAAAGCAATATAAATTAAAATTCCATTTAACTTAGTGAACAAGAATAAATGCATACGTTGAATGGCAGTTGCTTTTAACGAAGGAAGGATGAAATTACGAATTTTAAAACAAGGCAATGAACGAATCATTTTTTTTTTTTTTTTTTGGTAAACAAATTAAAGCAGTTTTATCCTACATGGTGCGTAGCATTAGACTGGCGAAATGTAAGCGTCGTAAAATTTTATCCGCGTCGAGTTCCAACAGGCTCTCGAGTTTGATTGTTCGTAATAATAACGTGAGTTTTTTAAGCGATATTCGATTTCTCGATAAGATTGTAGTAATGTAATATTTCACACGCAGTGTACCCGAGATGATGAACAACAAACCCAAACACGTTTCGAAACGGATATCGTGCGTCAGGGCGTTGTAAGAATTACGTATGAATGATGGTGTCGGTAGTAAGTCTTGGATTTATTAAATAAGCCGCGGTACCTTCGCAAATGTGACCATCGCGCGACGATAAAACGATTAATACAAGAACATTAATGATATCTTGTTTTTTATGTAATTGATGTACATTATTGCTCGTAATAGCGGATAGTTATGTAATGACGAAGGTTAAAGAGAGAATAGAAAAAGAAAAAAGGAGAAATAGAGAAAAAGAGAGAAAACGAGCGAGAGAAAGAGAGAAAGAAAGAAAGAGAGAGAGAGAAAAAAGTGGTTCAGCCGTAGTGATATGTGCTAAACATTCGTAGTATGTAAAAGTATTAGCTAGATTATAAAATGCTGCGTGAAAACGATTACAACGTAAATGATGATTAACGAAATATGCAGGGTGCAGCTGGTTACGTGAAATGGATGTATTGTCGTCCTGACATAATCTAAGAACGATCGATAACGATAAGATCGTAACGAGTAAAAACGCGCGTGTTTTTTTGTTACTATTTATTCATTTGATTTGCAGATACTACGATTATATTAAATGACTGTAATACACTTTTGTCCATTCTTTTATTTCTGCAAATCAATCATCAATCGTACGGCTTGGTTTTTTTTTTTTTTTTATTCTTTGAGACAATCGTTAGTTTTCGTTAGTTTCGTAGTAATAAATAACATAAAATATACCATAACGTTATGTAGTTTGATACGTGAGCGCAATGTCGGGGCATTTCGCGATCTTATCGAATGTTCTTAGAATGCAAGTCGACGTAAATGTATGTGTGAACACGTGTGTACATCACTTTATGCACGCATTGCACCCTCGTATTATAGTCGATGCATTAGACATCTCATACATTCAGACACACCACCAACAACAACAAGAACAAATAATTTTTTAAGATTCAATTATTATTTAAATAGTACAGTTACATTGTTAGTATGAATAACGACGCTTTTTATACGAATTTTAGTTTTTAATGTCGATCTTATGATATATTATATGGTATAATGATAATGACAATGGTAATAACAATAACGATAAATGATATCGATAATGGAACAGATTAAAGAGAAATGAAAAACTGCGCAAATGAGAAAAGAGAACGCGAAGACAGAATGAAAGAAACGGAGAAAGAGTGAGAGTGAGAATGAAAAAGCGAGAAAAAGTTTATCGAAAGACAGAAAGAGTGTGTGTTTAAGCTAGATGATTGTCTATAGTATAAACGAAGGCGTACGTTAGGTAGCCTTGATGCTATTTAAACAGACTTAATTAATGTATTGCAAATGAATTAATAAAGTGTAAGCGAAGCGTGTATCTGTACAGTGAAATCTTTTCTCTCAATTATTTCAAATATTATTAGTTCATATTTTTACTTGAATATGTCATTTTGAACTTTTTACTTTTTATAGTTACTAACTTTAGTAACGCATTTGTATTTCCCGCGATTGCCGTATATCGAGTTTCTCACTCGACATTTATTTTTGTCACGGTTCAGTATGAATGGAAGTTCATAGTACACACATATACATCGCATTTGATATACGTGTAGTATCTACTGTTCTTACAGGTAGAGAGGTTAGAGGACACTTTAAAGTACTTAATATTTTTTTGTTTTGTACTATTATTTGCCGTATTTTGTATATCAATTTTTTAAGCAGCATGCGATGACGACTTTCTATCATCTTCGAAGATCTGCCAGTAAGTCAATTGTCAGTAGCATTTAATTCCGTTGAAATTCGTAGACTATACGAAGTATCAACAAGCGCCAATGAAAATTCACAAAACAAAAAACAAATCTAGTCATAATTTTCGCATGTACATGTCTTCTTTTGAATGATTTCAATCATTAGAGTTACTGAATGATTAATTAATCAGTAAACTAATGATCTCGGAACATTAAAACATAATTCCGTATTTTGCAATTTGCACACATAAAGTTGAACAAATAGAACAATAACGTATATAAATAATAGATAGAATTCGATATTTATTAAAAATATTTTTTATTTTAATGTTCTTGAAAAATCAATTGGTTATTTAATTTACGCCTTGTATCGTTTTCAGAAGCTGTGCAATTTTTACAACCACACAGTGTTTACAACAATCTTAGGTTATTCTTACGAAATGAATCGAGCTTCGTACCGAAGCGAGTGCTTATTGTGGCAAAATTGTCACGATATCATTTTGAAAAATTACGAGAACCAAACTTGAATGACGAACAATTGAAATTAAAATTACTGGAAAGAGGCTCTGATTATGATACAATGATAGCTAGTCATATGGCAACCAAACATGTAAAAAATCAAGTAATCGAAGTTTTCAAGAAAATGAATATAGAATATAAAATAATAAATAGGTAAATATATAATTTCTATTATCTGAATTTTTGTTAAATTAAATAATTGTTAAACTAATGCTAAATTTCTTCTAATTGTTATGTTTATATTCTATAAGGGAAAATCTAGACAGTTCAAATTTTACTTGGGCTGATTTAATTCTTCCTATTGGTGGGGATGGCACATTTCTATTGGCATCAAATATGATATTTGATAACAAGAAACCAATAATTGGCATCAATTCGTTTCCGGAAAGGTCCGAAGGATATCTTATGTTACCATCGAAATATACAACAAGAATACCCGAAATTTTTGAAATGTTAAAAGCTGGTCACTATAATGTAGTCATGAGACGAAGAATTCGTACTACTATAAAGGGAGATAATATTTGGGAGCCTCCTTTCCACTCACACGAAAAGGGTCGCGTTGTAGGTGAAGAAAAGTAATAAATTAAAACATTTTCCGTACAACATAAATGAAAAAATATCATACATTAAGAAAATGTTTTGCAGATTTTATGTACAAGATTTGGAACGCGAAACAAGAAACGCTTTACCAAAAGAAAGACGTTTGCCTTGGTTGGCATTAAATGAAGTAAGTTCCATTCAAATGGATGATATATTTTTTAATATTTATATGTTTACATCTAATGTTTCTACATGCAGGTATTTATAGCAGAAGTACTTTCTGCTAGGACAAGTACCTTACTTATAAATGTAAATAATGAAGAAAAATATCATTTGGTAAAAAGTTCTGGCTTGTGTGTTAGCACAGGAACAGGATCAACATCTTGGTATAGATCTATAAATAGTGTTAGTCCACAAGTAGTAAAAGAAATACTGAGGCTTTTAAATAAGAAAGAATTTAGTAATGAAGAGATTGAACAAATATGTTCTACTTTCAATGCTACCTTATCTTTCAATGCTGGTAAGCATAATATTGTATTAAGTAAACGAAAAAATTGTTAATAAAACAATCGTTTGTGTTTTAGAGGAATTAAAACTATGTTATACTATAAGAGATCTGATAGTGAATGACATGTGGCCTACGCCAAAGTGTCTACATCCCCGTGGATTTTGTGATAAACTAACAGTAATATCGCACTGTTATGATGCTGGAATAGTCCTTGATGGAGGTATTGCCGTGCCATTTAATTTTGGAACTACTGCAATATTGGAGACTTATCCTGAAGATTCTTTACGAGCATTAACACTTCCAGAGTGATTACTATTTATTTCGAATAAAAATCTAATTGATATAATTTAAGGAATTGGGAAATAGTCTTATGTATTAAAGATTAAATGCAGTATGTAAAAGTTCTACCATTTGTATCTCTGAATATTTTGGAATTTTATAAAATGCATTTAATTTGATATTCCTATTGTGTACAGTTAAAGACTACTACTGGTGTGATCCATATTCCAATGAATAGTAATAAAATCAATGTAATAATGTATATGTAATATAAGAAAGTTTTTATGAAATTGTATTTCATAAGAATAAAAAAATAAAAGTATTGTTTATATTTAAAATTCTAATCAATCATTTGTTTATTTTTCGTTACAAAATCAACACTTAAACCACAATTACAATTCTATATAAGACAATTTATCTTTAATTATAGTTTAATTATAGTTTAAGCGTTGAGTGCTGAGAAGTACTGCAAAAGAAAACCTAACACAATAAATAGAACAGATATTGATAAACAAAATCTGAAACAATAGCCAGAAGAGCCACTGAAAAAGAAATCGCGATACAGTAGCCAGAAGGGCCTATCCTGATCTAATACATAAAAAATCTGAAAAAAATATTACTACTCACGAGTATAAAAAATACCCGCGGTCACTATGCTCATCAAAAATTCTACGTATACAACCAGTCACCCGTGCCGATTCGGACCTTTCGTCCTACGACATGATTGAGCGACCGGAGGAACATAAATGCATGCGACTCACGTGACAGATGTGAAGAACGTTATCGTATTGATGCTGCACTGGAGCAGAGAAAGTTATCGTGAAGATCCTCATCAAGTAGATACCACTGAGGATGGTGGAACGCCATGAAAAATTTCTTAAAAAACATAAAAACATAAAACATTTTGTTTCTAAAGACACAATGTTATTTGTAAATATTTAAATTTTAATAATGACAAAAAATTGGGACTAATGATTTTATTGTTAAATTTGAAAAATTGAATAAATTGAGATACAATATATAAAACTACTTACGATTTTGATCTCCTCCTAAGGAGAGGCCTTATCCTCTTGAGCACTGACTCTAGTACCGAAAGCGAATATTTGTCATAAAGAAATATAAAAAAAGAAAAATAAGACTATCAACGCACACGTTTAAGTATCAATCGGCGAGCTCACTGACTCTAATTTCACGAATTATAGTTTAAATAAATTAATTTGATTTAAGCTTAAGAGCCATTTTGCTCAAAAAAAAATATTAAAATATTGCGTAACAAGCACTGACGCTACCGACCGCATTGCGCGCGGTCACAAATATTTTCTGAAAATAAAACTGATTAGGAGAGAGGGAAGGACATTTATTTAAAAAGTATTGCTAGAAAAATATTTTTCTAGAAAATCATTAAAAATCATTAGTTGAAAATTATAGAATATTTCTCAATATTTGCAAAAATATTCTGTAAAAATTGTATGTTGAATGTTCGTTATTAGAGTATGTAGTATATACATTAATAATATATCACATATTGTATGTACAGTAACATTTCATGCGTGTTATAAGTATTCGAAAATGTTTACACAAATTAAAATTTCACAGCTAAATATATTTTAGAAATAATAACACGAGAAACACGTGTGAAATCTTGCTTTGAAATATTTCAATTCCGCGTCAGCATTCGGAGAAACATATAAATTGTATCTCAAATATACATAAATTGTATATCAAATATTATCTAAAATAAATAAAATGTTACCAAATTTCCGTGAAAGTTTATCAGATTTTTCATTAATAATATGCTATCTCTATGCTGTCTCTGCAATCAAGGAATAACCTGCACAAAAAGAAACGAAAAGTTAGAACAAATATGTCTAATGAAGGCAAATATAATAAAAGTAAAACGATAATCAACTTCAAATTCTATTTAAAAAGGGTACAAGACAAAGTACCAGTAACTATAAGAGTGAAGTCAATGATTAAAGAAAAATCAGAACGGAAAGCTTCAAAATCTCACTCGATTTCGTTATCTTGATGCTCAATGATTTGTCACACGCATATTAATTAAATGATACTACTAATAAGGTATAAATGGAAGTAAAAGAGTGTCAAAGAAGCGACGCCAACGATAGAATAGAAAAAGTTACGAACCTAATACCACGTAATACGTATTGCTGTTATGAAACTCGACAGCCGAATGACTCTCTCCGTGACACGTCTCGTCTTGCATTGAGAAACCAGTAGGGGATGGGGAACAAACACAACAATTAGACGAACATAAACATTGTGCTCGTGTTGTTGTTTTGAATTTCGAGCTTCAAGGCCTTCTGCGCCTTTATTTGAGAAATGAAAAATTTTATTATATTACACAGTAAAATTATTATTTTAACTAATAAATAATTATTGTTAAATTTATTATAATTGTTAAGAATTACGCAGTATGAAGTTAAAGAATCAACAAATAAGTAAAAAATGTTATAAAAGAAATGTGTGTATAAAAGCACATAATAAAATACATATACATATATATATATATATATATGTGTGTGTGTGTGTGTTAGTCAATTAAAAGGTTACAATATTTCTATTGATTAAAATTGAAATTAAATTTTAGTATAAAATTATAAATAATTTTTAGCACAGTGTGTTCTGTTTAAATATTTATATGCCATTATTTCTTTAATAGTTGAAAATTATGTACAATAATTATTTGATTCAATTTTACTTTAGGGGATTGTTAAAATTATACACTAGTAGTAAAAATTATAAACTTTTTAGTAATCTGGCAGATGAATTGAAACCAAAAGTGCAAGTTTTATCTTAATTCACAACACAAACGCAAGCTTAACAGCTATTGATTTAAATTTTTACCTGAAAACTTCTGGATAATATTTTTTTCTGGCTGATGACATTTCTTCTGGATAATACTTTCTTCTTCACAGATGAGGCGTGCTTCTTTCCGCCATGGTTACCGCTTAAAAATCGATCCTGAAAAATATCGATTACGTTCGAGAATCGTAGGAAGTTTATTGTGTATTTCACCGTGCAGTGGCGCTGTAATCGCACGTTTCGCAGGAAATAACTTGGAATAAAAAATAAAAAACTCCGGTCTAAATCAAATGTATACAAAGTTCATGTGATTCTTAAAAGAGAACGAAAATATTCTCACACTTGATGAAAAATTGTCAATACTTTAAATTGTTATAATTTCGTGAAAAAAAAATTGTACAATTAACTTGATTTTATTTTAAAGAGTGAAGTTTCCATTTTAACAATCCTGAGTTTGTTTGGTTCAAAGATATTTATTTTTATATCATGCAGCAAGTGTAGAAAGAATATTTTTCTTCTCGAAAATTGTAAAAATTCAAACATCTGAATTTGTTCAGATACTCGTATTAACCAAATATGGCGCGCTTTCATTGTCAGACAAATAAAGCTGCGCAATGCACAAACGACGCACTGCGCAGACCATGTTTAAACTGTAGCATGCCTTCCCAAAAATAATATTTATTTTAAAAAGTTATTATCTAATAAAACGTATAACTATATCTGTCTTTATTAAAATAAATTAAATATTATCATACTTTTTTGAAAAGTTACCAGATTTATCATTAATCAGAATCCCGTCCATTTGTATTCCGTGTCTTTCCTCCAATATTTCCGTTACGATTAATTAGTAATCTGTACAAAAGAACATCAGAACCTTCAAATAAATGTATACAAGAAATCAAATGTATAGAAGAAAGAAAGCAATCAAATAATAACTATAGTCAAATATTATTTTGAAAGTTCATACTACCGGTAAATGTAACAACTGAAGATGCAAAGTTAAATAAAGACAAAGATAATTTACTTATAAATTCCAATAATAAATTATTAAATTAAAACATACGATAATTAAATAAAGTCGACAGTGAGTCTGATCGATGAGAGAAAGGAAGATAACAATGAAAGTATTACACGGTTAATAAATATCACGCGTGAGAAAATACATCTTAATCCTCGATTTTCAATAATAAACTAATCCTCCGCGCAACAGGTTCGCGTTGCAATTTGGTGGGGTGGGGATTCAGCATTCGAGCGTACACCAATAGGATTCCACTCTGATCTATGGGAGAATATTTTAACTGTATTAAAAGCATATAATTTAACAATTCATAATTGTAAATTATTGGAAATTATTAATAATTGGAAATTTTATCAATAATTTTAAAAGTAAATATTTAAATACCTTCATGACACTATAATATATACTATAATATGTACTTCATGAACTGGTGTGTATGGAAATACATATGTATTTACTGTTAACCAAAAGACAAAATTAAATGTAAAATTAAATTATATTACATTTGTAATTTCTATTATAAATTATTATATATTATATTAATTATATTATTTGATAAAATCTTTCTTGATAGGTTAAATGGAATGCAAGAAAATAGCTGAAGTTATCCTTTCTTTAATTAATGAATCAGAAAAATTAATCATCTTAATTAATCTTTTTTGCAAATAAAAAATTGATCTTTTTATAAAAACTCATCATTTAGCAGTGATACAGTCTGTAACTTCATCTATAGTAGCAGTAAAATTTTATTTTATCGGTAATATTGAAAATGATAATAAAACTTTCTCAAAACGTGAGGTTAGATATCCCATACCTGATCTACGCGAATATTAGTTTACTAGAAATACAATTTATTAATTTATTAGAAATATAAAAATATTAAGCTTAATATTCAAATAGATTTTAATAAATTTCATTTTTTATATTTGATTGAATAATAAATTAACTTGTGCTCGTAGAAAATGCCGAAAGATGTCACTATGTTCATCTCCATCACATGGCGCCGCCATCCATGTAAAAAATTTATACGCAACTCGTAAATTGCTACAGTTGCTTGTGTTTATTCCTCTTACAACGAAAGTCGAAATATTAGTGGTGCTTTTTAAAATTAAACATTTCGTTGAAAATCCTTTCCTTCGGAATGGTACGCGAGTGGGATATATTGACAGTGAACTTTTCGCTAATGCGATTGGATTTATGAGAACTTGCAAGACTTAAACGGTAAACAAAAGTCATTCATTCATGGATTTTTTTATTTCAGTTAAGATACAATCTTACGTTATTTATTCATTGATGTATACAAGTTTAAATTTCATTCGTAAGAGTCTTACGAACAATTAATAAAGTCTACGAAAAAATGTTAACTATCTTTAAAATTGTCGAGACTGAATATCTCTTAATCAAGTTTGAGGTTAGGATGTTTTTTTTTATGTTAATTAAGCTGAGTATCTGCGATATATCTTTTGTTATCAGTATTTTATTGGTGATTTTTTTTAATGCACGTTAAATTATCAATGATATAGATATAGATATAAGAATATTTTGATCAAAATTTTATACAATTTACGTGATAAACATACACATTTCTATATTTTGAAAAAATGTTTTCTTAATGTTTGAACAAGACTGAGTCATCGACCCTATCAGCTGTTGCACTTTGTACACTTTCATATTTCAAAATTTGTTTATTTATTTTGTTAAACAATGAAATTATTTCACGATGGAAAAACATGAAAAAATAATAAATCATATATTACGCGAAAATCTCGATGTTCATTTTTAAGCAAATATCTAAAAATAATCATGATTAAAACATATTTATCTTTCGAAAAAATTTCTGTACAATAGATCAAATTAGAAAATTGTTATCAAATGTGTTGCAATTACTTTCATGAAAAAATTATATCTATTTCAATTAGACTACATAATCTGTTTCGATTATAACGTATGTAAAATATAAATTTTGTTAATATATATATATATATATGTACAACTCGATATCAGTTCATGCGAATATGCTTTTATTTATTTACATTAATAATTGTACATTTCATCCTAAGTAAATATTGAAATTATATGCATGTATATAAAAATATAAATAATGTTTGTAATAACCGAACTAGATGATGTTTTTATACACGATAATCACGTCCTTGTAGAAAAATCGATGATTACAAATATAATTTTTAGCTCCATGATTATGAACTTGTTTTTTGTAAGTATAAATAAAGTTAAAACAAAATTGCCAAAATCGCTATGACTAACTTTTGTTTCATAAATTAGTGATTTTTATTTCATTTTATTTTATATGATATACTACAGTGGAAACTGCGTTATCGACGATATTCTTGGAATCATAATGCATATCGAATTAAATCTAAAATCAACTAATATCAATCTAAAATCAAGTAATAAAAAGCGCAATTCTTTTAATATGATTTTGACATAATTTTTTTTTTTTCATTCGTTAGAGATTACATTTAAAAAAAATTGGCACGTGCAAGTTTCTAGAATTCATCTTAAAAAAACTTGTAAGAACTACTATCTATTTCCCGAATTTCTTGAAATGTTATTTTTATTTTAGTAATACTAGTCCGTATTGGGATTATTATTTTTCAGGTCTTGGATTAAGACAGCAGAATGGCAGAAGACGAGAGGCAAATAAGAGTGGCCGCAGAAAGTTTACTGAATGAATCTATAAACTCTCGGAGAAGTTTGTATACTCAGCAGAGTATGACGCGAACCCCAGATTTCATTCTTAGCGAAGATCTTATCGCGGGTAGCATGCAGAACGGGAGAATGTCCAATGTCAGACGTTTTTTTTGCCTCTTCGTCACCTTCGACCTCTTGCTTACTTTTCTCATGTGGCTTATTTGTACAATGGTAAATCATATACATGTACAGCGTAACTAGTTCAAAATGGGATTCAAACTTATGCATATTCATTTCACCCTTTGATTACGAATGATGCCACATCTACTTCATGAAAAATTTTTATTCCGTGACGAGTGACGCTGGAACAGTGGCATGAGTCTTTTATAAATTTCAATGGCCTCCTATCTTCCAGTTCTTTAGTTGAAAGTTACACGAAATTTACTCGAAATTTACCTTAAACTCACCAAAAACGTATTTTTAGATCGCCGGCGAAAGTTTGCAATCCGCGTTCATCAATCAAGTAGTTCATTATCACATAAAAACATCGCTTTTCGATATAGTGGTAAGTATCATGACGTTTATATTCGAGAAAAAAAAAAAAAAAAAAAAAAAAAAAAAAAAACGAAAAAAATGTCCGAAATGACATTTAGTTCGTCGTGGACAGAAATTTTAAGGATTTCATCTTCTTAGTTGGCAGCGATTTGCAGATTTACAATGTTGTTACTCTTCTATGCGCTGCTCCATTTGGATCATTGGATTATCGTGGCTGTAAGTGTCACAATTTCGTAAATGAGTATAATGGTCATTGACTGCAAAATAGTAATATACGATATTGTACAAAAGAAACGCTCTGTGATTTGTTACAGTTGACAACTGCCACGACATGTGCTTTCTTAATCGCTAAAGTGTTTCTTTTTGATGTAAGGGTTCAATCTTTGTACATTGGATTTTTATAATAATAGACTTGTTATTTTACTATTTTTATTTTTAGTGGTCAATATGCAATCAACCAGTATTTCAAGTTCTTCTCATCCTTACGTCTTTTGTATTGGCATGGGTGGAAGCGTGGTTCTTTGATATTCGTGTATTGCCTCAGGAAACACAAGCTAGAAATTGGTTTAGAAGTACGATATTTATAATTTATTTTATTATTGGATATTAAGATGTGATAAGCTGAAGCTTCGAGTTGATTTCAGATTTCACGAGTAATGAAAGAGAACCACTCCTTCGAGGAATTACCACAGAATCACGCCAATATGCCAGCATCGATCCTGGTACATTTTTTACACCTATTGATTCACCAGATCATTCTGATCACGAGGATGAAAATTTTACAAAACCAGGTAGTTCTAGGAGTTTATCAAAAACGAACGAAATATTTCCGCCTAAGTCTCTACCAAAACTCACAACAGAAATGGTGAGTAAGAATTATATAATGTATCTTAGGAAAATATTGATTTATGTTTATTAATCCTTTATGAACGATTTTTCAATGTTTATAGATAGAGGACTATAAACGAAGAGCAAATGCGTTAGTGCAAACTTGCCACGATTTATTGCAATCTAAAGATTGGCAAATTCAAAATATAATGTCAAATGGTGATATTATCTTTTATATGAACCGTCCTAAAGAAGGAAAGACGTTAAAAATAGTAGTAAGTTTAAAGAAGATAAACGTATATTATTCTGTTTATTTTTTCGTCATGATTTCACGTAATTTTTTTAAGGGAAATATTGAAGCTCCAGCTGGTATACTTGTGAACAGATTATTCGACGAAATTGAATTATCACCGTCATGGAATAAACTTGTTACCGAATCGAAAAAGTTACAGGTATCTCTTTTTTTTTTTAATTTTATATATTAATTAAACTGATCAATTTTCATGTATTTTCATGTAAATCAGTGTATCGATGAGAATACTGATATTGTTTATCAAGCCACAAGTGCCCAAGGAGGAGGCATTATTGGCGCTCGTGATTTCGTTATTTTAAGGCATCGTATTCAATACGGTAACTATTATATAAATAGTGGTACGTCAGTGCCTTTTACATCATTACCAAATCGCAGTAATGTCGTCAGGTAAGTTTGCAAGACAAATTTTTAAGATCATGCTATATTGAAAAGTAATTATTTGTGGTAATATTTTATTAAAGGGCTGAGAACAATGTAAGCTGTTGGGCAGCAGAACGATTACCTAATGACGATAGTAAATGTCGATTTACGTGGATTATTAATACCAATTTAAAAGGCTGGCTTCCACAAAAAGTTGTAGATAAATCAATGTCTACTGCATTGATAGATTTCATGTCTTGCGTAAGGAACTATATGAATGACACACAAAGATCAATCGTTTAGTGCAGTACGTTTCGATAATTAATCGGAGAACCACGGTCTTTCATAATGATGATTATCTTCTGGATTTGTGTGATTAAAGAAATTTCAATTTTTTATAGCATTTTTAATGTTCCAAAAACAACGCAATTCTTGATCAAGTCGAACATGATTTTCTTGTAGTGTTTTCCATGTGTATCATTGCAAACCGAATGACAAATGTAGGAGTCTTATATGAGTTGACAGACTGACGGGAGAACGATAATTGACTTTTTTTACATGCTTTCTATTTCGTAAATTAAGATTAAGAAATACTTTTTATAAAGTATGTTCAAAAAAATGTTTTATCGACTTTTTCGATATAGTTATTTTAAATTAAGAGCTTTAAAAATCATTTTAATCATGTAGCTTAAATCTTATTGTTTATAAATTATTCACGAATAATATAATAAAATTTTATTTTTTTATTTGCAAATCATCTAAAGTATTGCCAATGTACATGGCATTTAATTTTTTGCATTTTATTCTTCATCATAATTCTATTATATTATATTATATACATTTTTAATTTTAATTTAAAAATGTCGAATATAAAATAATTGGTACTGTTATTATAAGAAGACATTTATTTCGCATTTCTTTCAAATTTATTCAAAATTTTTATTAAATTGCAGTTGAAAATCTATTATGCTTATATATTTTATGAAAGTGATTGTATTTACAATACATATTTAATCATAATTTATGCATGGATGTGATTGACCATGCTTCGTTGTATAAAAAGAAACAGCAAAATATCAGGGAAAAGTTACTGAATAAATAATTATTCGATAAAAAAAGGCATGATGGAATACTATAACAAAGTTGTTTTAAATATTTTCATATCATTGTAATTTGTACAAAATACAAAATAGAATGATTCATTTGTCAAAAGCATTTCTTGTATTTTCGATAACTGCATAGATAATATTCTTCGTTATTTATCAAATCCATTCTGTTCATATGTATATATATATAGGTTGTGAAAGAGTACATTTGATATGATATAAATAAAAACAAACACCCAGAACGCGCTTATAATATAATCCCTGTATTTATATTAATATACCAAATGGTTCAATTTTGTGAAAAGAGTTATGCTATATATTTTAAAGCTAATGAAAATGAAACAGTATTTGTTAAAAATACCTTTTCTACACTAATGAAATTTATTTTTTACCCTAGGTATATTTTACATTTGCAAATATAAAATTGTAAAATTTATGAACGTTATTATTATATAGTTTTAATTGTATTTCTTTGAATGTATATATATATATAGATTAATGTCCTGCTAGTCACTTCTGTAGTCATTCTTATAGTTAATTTCAGTGGATCAATTGTGTGTTCGATCTTTAACTTTACAAGTGCGAATTGTTTTAAAACGTATAACGATTAATCGAAGGTCATGTTTCATGTCTTTAATTTTATAAAACTGGCCTAAATAAACAATGTTGCTTGTATAAATTCACATTGTACAGAGATAATAAAATGGAGTAACTTCCTTTTCCTAAAAACTTTTGTAAAATTCATTGAATTACTTCTTATGAAGAAAAGTTTTTAAATTCGACTAAAATTTATATCGCACGTCGTAATGTATATATAATTTGAGATAATTTTATATATTCCACAAGTTCGCATAATTTTGTATATACCACAAGTTCGTATTGTTAGATATGATATTTCAACGAAGTTACGCAATTAATGTTATAATTGAACTGCTCAATTATTTATTGATTATCAGTTAGTCTTTTTCAGATACCTAACGTAAAATAATATAGTAATATAAATACGTTCTTCATATTTATATTACTATCTCGAATGTCTTTATCCCATATTCGTAACGCTTAAATTTCTGTATCTAGTGAATGCAAAGATGAGACTCTGTTACCTCGTGTTATAGTTTCCCAAAATTTATTGCTATCCGAAAAAGCTTTCCATAAAGTTTTATCTTTGAAATTTTTAAATCGAATAGTGTTTATTGTTTATCCAAGTTCGTAAAACAACGATAGGTGTAGATTGTGCTATAACGTGGTAAATAACACCGAACATTCAAAATTTTATATGAATAGTTCATGTACAAAACTATATTATCGTTTTCAGATAATCTGTAAGAGAAATCAACAGAGAACTAATAAGAAAAGTTATTGAAGAGTGTTCGCAAAGATATACAGTAGGTAATATCACATCAAGTGACCGAGATACGGTTTGTTTGTTACATTTGTTGGAATTGATTTTTATGGAGCGGGTTTTTTACACAGCATATGTCAAATAAACAAATTTAATTAGTATTATAAGTTGCAAATTAAACTACCATTATAGCATCGATATGTAACGAACGGAACACATGGAAGCAAGCCGTATATTTCATTCGTTAGAACACGCATCCATTGATAACCATACGCTTTGACATAGGTTTAATGAAAAAAAGTACTCGAAATTTTCTGAAAATATACCTTGTTTGACAACTTAGAATTAGAGTCCCATTTGTAGCCAGTTAGCGAAGCACTGCTGTACGATCGGTGGGATGGTCACGTGTAAGTATGTGCGTGTAAAACAGGTGGCGCTGATGCTGGAGCCACAACCGAAATCGAGAAAGTCAGTCAGTTGGTCTCGCGCCTTACGCGTGTGCTTGTCGAGTTTTATGTTTGTTCGTTGTATCGGGACGTCGTGTTTCATTGTCACGTATTCATCTCCAAAACGATATTGTCAACGATTTACCGTGACAAGAACAACTTTCCTGCTCCATTCTACGAGCCTGCAACAGCAACTTGCACCTCAACGGAGCAACGCCGGTTCAGGACGATGCCGGAAACGTAAAGGACGCTTTGGAGCGTCTACGAGAGGATGATGCAGAAATGGTGAGTGTAAAATAAATTCTGTTGCTCTTTTTCTGCTTCAAACGTATTTCGATGTTGATAACATCGTATAATTCAATTGGTCATACAAACCTCGTATCGTGTCATTGAGAGGAAATAAAAATTTACAATACATGCGTTCTCTTATGTGAGACCGTAGCAATTCGAATCGGCGAAAGTGTAACTTTACGCGACAGATTCTCAAGTAAAGAAACGTAGTTTACCCGTCTGTAGTTGCCGGACGCTTTCGGAGCATGGTAAATAGTTGTGCGTAGAAAAACGTGCAATTCTAAAAGGTCGCGTGTGTGAACCAGCAAAACAGTGAATTTGAATTCACGTATGAATTTCAAGGCACGATTCTCGCTATAAAACTCTGATCAATTGAAGTTAAATGCACGGAAAGTTACGTAGTACTTTGCAAAAATTCCCCGAACCGTTGTAAATTTATAACATTCTTATAAAAAATTATTAATTGATTAATATTTTTATCAGAGTCGATCAGATTCACGCGAATCATTCGAATTGAAAGCAACGTTTGACAAATTCTTAGTTTCTGTCTTGAGAAATTTGTTTCTCGACGAGACATATCGGGCTCGCACATTCAATCTGTGTTTGCCTATCTGTGATCCTTTGAGCGCGATCCTTTTGACCTTCGGCCTTCCGACTCGGACGAATATGCATATTAGGTATCTCTGTGTACACGTTTAGGGAGTCGTGTATGCACGATGTTCCCGTTTCCTTCGCGAAATATAAAATTCTGCGGTCTCGAATGCATTATTGTCGGCAAAGTAACGTTCTCTCGTCTTCCTTCTACTCTCACTCCTTTTTTTTTTTTCCTTATACGTGCACTTCCGTTTCGAGGTAACTTTGTTTCGAACTAGTTTCTGCCGCCTTTTCCTCTAGACGAACTTTCGACATTGCACCGCGAGAGTTTTCGATTCTCTCTAGTTCAACGAATATCGTTAGTTTTGTTGTTCCGACTTTAATATTTTGACCGTTTCTTGTCTATTCTTGCCTTCCGGTCGAGAAAAGTACACGTATTTGGAGAGAAAACGTAATTGAAATAAATTTAATCTTTAGAAGCTCTTGTTAAGCTCTGAAATCAGATTGATGCTGTTACGGGTGAAATTCTATTCTAAATTTTAAAAATCAATAAAATCAAACCAATGTAATTAAATGTTTTATTAATATTCGATATTGTGCGAAAGGTCTTGCTTAACATGCCGGTAAATAATATTGTCCAAGCAAAATGTTGAATGTGAATTTTCGTCAGAAATCTCGATACATGACTCCAAAATTTCAAAGCTAAAAAAAAGACAGAATGAAATTTCATCTATAATAGCCTTTAATAATTAATATGTTTGTTATGCATTCATTGGAAATGATACGTCAATAATTATACAAGTGTAATTTAGAAGTATTGCGTAGTAATAAAAAGTTATACTTTGAACGATTCAACATCAAGATCGTGAGAGACCTGTTATGTCAATATCTTCCCCTTGCGTTGAGAGAGGGTTTTTTCAGGAGCGATTGTAAATACATATCCGTGTGGTTGTTACGTGCGTAAACGTACTATCGTGCTGCATCGTCGGTGGTTTTGTTGACAGTAGCGTAGACGTTGACCTTTGGCAGCAGAGCAATTTTCTAGGCGTGACGTGGTTTCCCCTCAAGGTAAATCGATTTCGCGCGCTGCTTCGAAATTTAAATTTAAACGCCGAAACGCCGTCGCACCGCCGAAATTCCTCGTTTAGTCTCTGTATTTGAAAAAAATCACTGGGTCACTTGTCAAGTGCAATCGTTGTTAATTTTCGCCCGAACAATCCGAGCATTTCGATTTTCTGAATTTAAGTTCCTTAATCATTGAGATCTAAATCTTTGTGTATTTGAACATTTTAATTTTCAAATTTGAATCTTTAAATTTTGGAGCTTTATACTCTTTCGGGTCTTTATATTCTTCGACGTGAATCTCCAAAGCTATCGCTGGTATGAATTAGCGTCAAATCGAAACTGGTACTCAAAAACTGTTGCGATTTCTGTATCCGTTAAGCTTAACTTATCGAAAGTCCTTGGGATTGTCTTCCTGATCGAGAGACTATCAATCTAACGTTGGCATTATTTCAAAAACAGTTTTTGCTTTTCGCTCGTAAATGGCTGTGCTTAGTCATTTGGCTGCGTGGCGGAAAACGCGATGTCCGAGCATTCAACGTTATATTATAACAAACTCCTTATTATCAAGTTGTACATAATTTTTCAATTTAACAACGAACTTGATTATTTTTCTGTATATTCGTATTTCTTTCTTTCGAGAATAATTGAATAGCTTGTTCTATTTTCTGTCTTCACTCGGCTAATGAAAATCCAATTAGCTTTATTATCCTTTAAGGATGCTTGCCATTTCTGCATACAGTATACAGTTCATTAAATAAACTTTCGTCACATGTGATAATTTTACGAATAGAGAAACTGCTATTCCTTAAGTTGTATTAGTTAAGTTTGTTTAAACAATCGTAAATGTTCTGATATATTTCAACAGCTCGTTGATATATGTTTGCATATTTTTCTTCAACTAAATCATCGAGCAATACTTATCGAACCCTTCGTTTCCCTGTTTCAATATTGTTTTTGCTCTAGGATTATTAAAATTATAGTAGAATCCAGTATCAGAAACTGGAGTGAATGTATGACTAATTTTAGTCAATTTTACGAGAGTTTAAATATGAACTTCATAGGAAACTACGATTTAATAACAATGAAAATATATAAGTTTATGTAGTTAGTTCAAAGGGCTTGAAAATCCACACTATAAAGTTGTATAAAAATTTTACTTTCCCACTTTGAATCTTTTCGTTGTCTTCTGCGAGATTTTTGCGAATGTTCTCAATCTTATTCGTATCGCATTTTTTCCCCTTAAACTGGCAAATTCTCAAGATATGTTTGTTCACGTACATTATTTTTATTTCTCATATGTTTTTATTACTGAGAAATTCTTGGCGTTCCTCAGGGTTGTCCCCTGCCCACTTTTGCATTTCCTGTTTCATTTAAACTCGAGGCTACGATGACAAATTTCCTTTCTAAGAATCTTTAGATTATCAAAGACTATGTAGTAGAATCTCGAAGCAATTATTTTTTATGAACGATGCTTAAGAAACCCTCGAGGATTTGGGGTAGTTGAAAATTTTTGTTCTATGTTAAGGCCATAAAGAACTTTTTAACATTATCCCCTTTTTCCTCGGTTTTTCTTGCTTGTTCCCTTCTATAACACGTTTTCCTCCTTTCTCTGTTTCTCTTCGAGAATATTACCCCATTACCAAGATCAATCTACGTAAGTTTACGTTGACAGTTTCCCATTTTCATCCGTTTTGCACGCATTAAACATGGAAAAATACGACTAGGAACCACGCGGAATCAAGCTAGCGATGTCGATGAAAAGTTCGAAGAATTTCAAATGCTTGCTTCAGTCCTGTTTTCATGGCTGATAGCTTTCGGAAACGTAAGTGTACAGTGCTGCGAATAATTATAAGTTCACAGCAATTTCTGCAAAATTTCATAAATACAGGAATGATTTATGAAAGACAATTATTTTTTATAGCTCGTAGAACATATCATAATTTGAGTACGAATTATTTCTCGTCGCCGATAGAAATTATCGGACAATTTATCATCGAAAATTTTATACAAATTAAAGTAAAGTTCCAAAAAATAATTTTTATTTACGAAAAAAAATGCTTTGGACCTATAATTATTCACAGCACTGTATTCATCAATTTTGGTATCAATCTAAATTCTCAATTTTCTCAATTCTTCGGAAAATCTTTAGAAATCAGAAATCAAATAAAATTCAGAGAACGATTGGATCACGACTTTCGTACTCTACGTTCGACGCGTAGTCGCAAACGAGTTTTTTTTACTTCCATTCATTTAACTCGCGGAAAATATTTTGGAGCGACGCTCCAACCCGATCTGTAACGAGTTTGCTGCGTTGTTGGCGAAATCATTTACATATCGTTTACATTAACCAAGCAATTTGCTAACTGCTGTTAGAATTCCATCAGCATTGGACATCCAGTCGCCATAATCGCTGTTGTTACACGTGAAAATCGTTAATTGTTCCACGCGCTTATCGTAGAAACACTCGCGATTACACCAAGTACCTAGTGCACGCGATTTGTTTGCGTTTGGAGCATCGGCGATGCGAGATACAGAATTCGTAAACCATCATTGTCGCGACGTCTAGGTGTGGAAAATGGAATGTCAAACGTTAATTCGATTATTTCGTTTGCAATTTCAGCGAACGGCTTTTTCACGATTCGTTCGTTTGGAAAAAGTGATATTTCCCAGTGGCCAAGGCTCTCTTGCATAATAATTTACCAACTAGTGGTAATATTAGTGAATCGGCTTCATAGTCGTAGATTTCAATTTTAGAATTTCACGTTAAGTTTGTAATTTGTACATTTTACATCACTAGTTGTGAATGTAAATTTATTGACGCTAGCAATTTATGACTGTTGGTTTCAAAAAAATTTCACCAATGATTTATTAGTTAAGAGGACGCGAGACATCGTTTCTATTTTCAGCAAAGAATTTCCAAACTTTTCTTTCCCTTTTTTTCTTTTTTTTATTGAAACATGAGGCTGAGTAAAATCGTGCTTGGAAATTTATTTGAAATTGCCCGACAGTTTATTTGCGAATCGAAAGGAAACGTTGGCGTTTGTTTGACATTTCTCTCTCAAATCGGATTTAATTTGCGACTCAAGAACGAATCGTCCGCGACTAGACCATCACGTTAACTCGACGCTTCATTTATTTTGAAACAATCCTGTGCCATTGGTAGCGGTTTACTCGAAGAACTCGTACTCGTGCCTATGCTTAATACCTACTGTAATTATTATACCTTGCGTTTGGTATAGAAAAAGTATAATTAAATCTACAAGTAAATCGAGGCATAAAGTTGTTATCCTTCCATTTAAATTGCTGCAGTCGCTCTCTCCTTTCTCTCCGCCCTT